TTTTTTTATCGCAGTTACGGCGTAACTGCGACGCAGTTTGACCGCAGTCGAACACATGGGAATACAACTCCACCATGCCTGTAGTTCTATTTATTGTTGCACTCTCTATTTAGGTATGAAGGTTCTGCATTAAATCTACCATCCATCAACAACGGTTGTGAGTCCTTTAATGCTAAAATAAAACGTCAATATACGCTTCGAAACAAGCTCCCTTTATCGTCATTTCTTCCAAAAATTGAACTGATGTTGGCGGATTGGTCGAAACATTCCGAAACCAATCCTTTTGCTATTTGTACACCTATTACATCTTCAATTGAAATTGCTGCATACAAATGGGCTACAGATATCGATCGCAGCAGTATTCATCATTGGTATGGCAATTTCTATGTTGTTCCATCATCTAATGCTCAAATATCATCTTCAACTTGGTTAGATGTATATATTTCTCGTCGTTGGTTTACATTTAATGACTTTTTGGTGTGGCAACAATCTTGCTGATTGGTTGTTCCATTAGAATCATGTACTTGTCCGGTTGGACTCAAAGTTTATTCTTGCAAACATTCGGTTGGTTTAGGAATTCTGTTCAATTTATACCAAGTTAATGATAAGTCACGTGTTGAAGCATTAGGTAAACGAAAAAGAAAAGGGCGTCCCAAGAAAGTTAGCACAGCTTACGGTAAATAGAAATTAACAAAGTTGTTAAAGTCACTAGTCGACGATCTTGTCTCACTTCTTTCCAGATTCTTGTTTTTCTTGGTTATCAGACAAGATTCTTTTTAATCATGATGTTCAGGCAAGATTCCTTTTGAGATGAAAGAAAAAAGATTCTTACCAGAAGTTCAAGACGAGAAGAATCTTGCCTGATTACTCAGAAGTAAAAGAACCAGACAAGAGTAACAAGATATTCAAGATTTTTTTAAAATTCAGACAAGAATCTTTTTCTTTTCCTCTCAAAAAGAATCTTGACTGAAGTTCAAGATGACAAGAATCTTGTCATATGCATCAAGAAAACAAGAATCTGGAAAGAACCACAGGAAATTTAAAATTTCTTGAAGTTCAGACAAGTTTCTTTTCCTTTTTCCTTTAAAAGACTCTTATCTGATCTTCAAGATCAATAGCACGTGATCTCATTGTTCAAATACATATATAAATATGGACGTATGACCGCCACTTATTCAGTTATAATTATATAAGTGATGTTTTCACTACACTTTGAATAAGTAACTTTTTAAGATAGTCGATCGTATTGAAAACATGCCTATCGATTATGTTTTTCTATTGGATATAGAGAGACGACTGTAATGTACAATAATGATAGGGTGTGGGTGTGGGTATGGTGTGCGTATGAAACAATAGAACATCTAAAACCCACACCCACCCACACCCACACCCACCCACCCACACCCACACCCACACCC